AGACATGGCGTTACTGTGAAAAGTTTTTAACAATTTGAAGAAGTATTTGCTATTGTAGTTTTGATATGATATAGGACAAAACAGGAGCTTCAAATACTTATCCACATATTACAGAAGAAGAATTTTTTTTTTAGATTTAGTGAAAAGGGAGAAATATATCCCAAACATGAAGGAAATGGAGCAAGAAGGGAAATTGGAAGAGAATCCTGTAATCTCCAATTAGGAAATTAAAAAAGGTTTAATAAATATCGGTTTAAAAAAAGGAAATATTTCAAGATTTTGTACATTAAAAATAAAACATTTACAGTTTCCTGAAAAATTTCAAATAAATGAGAGCATTGAAGCACCTAAAGAACTGGTTACGATAGGGTACCATATGGGACCTATAGTCAATCTAGGTTTATATGTTTTTACTATTTTATTACCTATGGTCCTATGTTTATATAGATGAAGTCCATTTTCATGACGAAAACACGCATTAGGTTAGGCTAAGGTGCAGATTATTCACTCGACCATTTTATATATCGCAAGGTCCTATCTAATCATCCGCCATTGCTGCACGTTTAATAAAAATGAAATAATATCTGAAAAATCAATCCTTAATAAGGAAATTTTGTGAAAATTATTTATTTTTGTGTAAATCGGATTTGCCCAAAGATGTTTTTGACCGATCGGAACTATATAAGAAATTATGTAATTTACAGATTTATTTTTATTTTTTTGGAAAATATTAACAAAACAGGAGCCCGTTTGTTTTGTGTGCATATCATAATTATATTTGACAGAAAAGTTGACTTCGTTTGAAATTTTTGTGCCTACAGGAGCTAACTATTTAGTTTCACGTATTTTATTGTTGACAAGGCCAAGGCCAGGCGCCATTAATATTTTATGTCCCCAATGTTCTTATAGGTATCTATTCATTTTGTTTTTAATGTGATGAGTTGGGAAATACAATAACACCAATAATAAACCAAAAGTGCGAATTTGGTGCAATATATTAAACCTGGAACGTCCTTCATTTGGTTTGGTATTTGTTTTTAGGTTAGTCATGGTTTACCACGTTTAGTAAACGTTCAAATCTGGTTGTGTATGCTGACGTGTAAGTTAAAAATTAGTAAAGCCTCGCGACCTGCGACGTCGTTACAACCATGAAATGATTCTCCATTTTGGTTAAAATAAGGGTTGTATAGTCGTCTATTTGACGTCGCGCCTTAACGTCAAGACATCAATGACGACGTTGTTAGGACGTAAAAGCGCTGCTTGGGGACCTGTAGGTACAGCGAAGTTGATGCTTAATGATGAGGGCTTCCATGCTAGTGGTTGTGGCCTCCTTTAATACACTAATGTTCGTTCGTCGGTCTTGCCACTTAATCCTTAGGATCAATCTTATGCATCGCAGGTGGTATTTTTCTAGGCTTTTTATGTGTCTTCTGTAGGTGATCCATGTTTTGCAGCCATGGGTAAGTGTTGGTACTACATTAAAAGACTCTCCTTGTCCATCGTTGCTTAGGACGGATGCATTCATATTATCATGCAGCAGGCGGAGTATCTGGATGTACTTTTGCGGACACTCAACCTTTGCCAGTATCTTCCACAGAGCTTCTCTGTTGACCTCATGAAATTCCTTAACTAAATCTATGAAGGACATGTATAGAGGGTGATTTTGTTCCCTGGATTTCTCTTGCACTAAAAATCATAGCTGTACCTCATTTGGGTCTAAAGCCACACTGTGTCTCTGGGAAGTTCTCTTCGGCAGTTGGGATTGAACGATCTGATTATAACCTAGCAAGTATGTTTTCCGCAACAGAAATTGAAGATATTCCTCTGTAGTTTCCAAATTGAGCCTTGTCTTCCTTTTTAAATATGGCAACTATGGAGGTATCTCTCAGTTCGGCAGGTATGGTCTCAGTAATTCATATTTCACTTATAAGGATGTGGGTTTGATCATGCATTTCATTTGATTTTGTTATCCATTTTCATTTTTTCATTTTTCATTAATGCTCGCGTTTGCCTTTGAACTTCTGCTTGTGCTTGTTGGTATTGCGTTTTTTTTTACAGTCGAGTACGTTCTTTTTCTTTCTACAAGGTCTTGAATTTTAGTGTCCTTCTCATCAATAGAAGATGCGTGCATGGATTTTATTAACGTGGGTATGCGGATGCACGGTCAGCGGACACGCGGTCCCTAAACTCGGGTTCTCGACTCCCTATCCTGTATATTATCTGACTTCTTGTGTGTTGAAGTCATCGGAGAACAGCACAGTATCGTTAACATTCGGTTAAAGTTGCGCAATTTCGGATCTTCTCCTGATACTCTCCTGAGACATGAAGTTTCTCTATGAAACCAGTATGTCTGACGCGGTCAAAGGCCTTCTCAGCATCCAAGGAAACTGACCTAGCTGAAGCTCGGTGTTGGATGTTGAGAGTGACCTCTTGGACCAGTCCAGCCAGCTGGAGGGAATGAGCATTTTGGGATCAGAATTATTCATTATGAAAAAAAAAAAAAACGTAGATAGGGGAGATTTTTGAGATTTTCTAAAAATAGTCACTCTATAGGGGCTTGACGAATGATGAGGGCATGCTGTAGTTTGGGGAGAATTGGTGGTCTTTATCAGGCTTTTGGAAAGTAATAGAGCCAAAGACATCCATTCAGAATGTTGGTGAGGGTTTCCGCTCCATGGCAGATTCTGAGAACTGCTGTTGGTGTCGCAGCTTGGAGTTTCTTTTCCTCTTGGTACCAAAAAATGTATGATTTTACGGTTTGGATCGAGACTATTGGCATTGCGTCTCGAGGAGAAATCGCAGCGTCTGTCGATATCCGCCTCATTCTCACTGTCATCATCGGGATTCTGACTTGGCAATTGTGTCTCTTCCTATTCTACTATGAATAGTGGAAATGAAAGGATAATTTTCTTTCGGAGAGATCTGGTAATCATCCTTAGAAAATTAACCTGGAGAGATAAGTCGTTCAGGAAATTTTCCCAGTTCTCGTTTGAACAGTTTGGATGTGACTTTTGATGATATATTACCAGAAATACTGAAGGAGGCAGGAGAATAGGTACCTTGTAAAACAACTGAAAACTTTTCGAATAAATGTCTAACAGAGAGGAAAATACCACAAGACTGGGAGACTGACATCGTCCTTCTGATATACAAAAAAGGAGACCCATTAAATCTTGAAAACTATATACCCATAGGCCTCCTGTCTCAAACATAAAAAATATATGAGAATAATCACCAATCGCCTGATGAGCGAAGAGATAGGGATAGGATTACCATACAAAATTAATAGGTAAATAAAGTAAACTCCTACAAGTATTTAAGACAGGAAATAACGCTTGGCAAAGTTAATCAAGAGCTTGAAATTCAGACTTCAACAACGCTGGTACGACTACATCAAGCGAACAGCAGGACTGAACTGGTACCAAGTCGCATAGAATAGAAATACCAGGCATAATCTGAGAGAGGCCTATATCCAGAAGATAGAGAACGGCTAGGAAGAAAAAGAGATTGTGATTTCTTGGGTAAGATTGTCTGTTAAAGTCCTACTACAGGCGAATGTGGTTAACCTCAAACTAATCTATGAATTTTGGGAAGTTGTCTATGACTTGGGCGTGGAAGTTATTGTCTTGCAATGGGTCTTTTTTTTGGGACAGATGATGGGATCCTGGATCGAACATATATCGTGGATGGTATTATTCTAGTTATAGGTTAATATTTTATCCACAATTTCGAAGCACAGGCCATATTCACTTGAAGTTAAATACCAATCAGTGTATGAATTATAACTAACAATTATTCACATAGTGTATGGTCCTTATAGTGTAACAAGTCTAACCGGAACAATATTCAAAGGAAGAACCATCGATACCAGCAGTATGATGTCAATAAGTAACACTTTGTAAATTTGTTTTAACATCGTTCAATAAGTTTCTAATGGTTAACTGACATCCAGCTGACTCTATGCCACATTCGTTTTTGAAGTGTTTGTATATAATCTAATTCTCAATTATACAAAATACTAGCTGACCTGGCGAACTTCGTACCGCCTCTGAATTATTAAATATACCAATTAAATGTTGTGTTAACGTATCTATTAGCTGAATTAAATTCAGTTTTTTTCGATGGTGAATTTGGCTTTGGTTGAAGAAAATTAATGTTTACTCTCTGGATCAGAAGTCACCTAAAATTAAAATTTTACATCATCCTTTTTTAGGCAGCTTGTGGGCATTATTCTTGTAAAGTGTACCACCAAATAAATAAACTCAGGCACAGGAATGTTCAAAGAATGTAAAGAAAACAAAAAAAATCTCTAGCGTAGCCCTGTTTCACTCTATCTGCACTGCATGCACTGCACTACTCCATCTGTTCTACTCTATCTACACTACTCTTTCTGCACCACTCTATCTGATCGGAATAGTGGAATAGTTCTGTTCGACATAGCTCCAGTTCCTGAGCAGCATTGTTCTACTGTATCTGCAATGCCGAGCTTCGTTCCAGGTATGATGGCGCGGTATACAAAATACAAAATACAAAGTAAACTTGGTATCGGTTATAAGAGATGGCGCCGTATGCGAGCTTAGTAAATTTTTTTCATAAATAAATAAAATAAGTAATGAAATGACCACATTAATGACATAACAACATGCTGGTACTGTCAACGCTGAAAAAAGTTTCAATTTGACAGCAAAATCCGCATTAACAAAATGATCCTCCATTTATTGAATAATTTATTTATTACAAAAAATGTGATAAATGAAGAACCGCTCGTTCTTATTTTGTGCAAACTTCACATAAACCATCTAATAAATAGTCCGAACAAAGCCTAAACATTTGGTTTGGCTAGGTGAGCCCGTTCTTGAGTTATAAAATTACAACGAAAAGTGGCATTAATTTTTATATATATAGATTAAGCCAGAAACCAAGTCGTATAATAACCGATTTTAAATGGCCAAATTCCTCAAGGCAAGTTTAAAAGTAGAGTCGACTATTTATATCTGGCTCGTGAAGCTATCCAGTTCTCACTTTTGATAAATCCAATTTAATTTATTTTTTTGTTGAAGGTCGTAGGGCCAGTATAGCGGTTTCTCCAATAGATGGAAATAGGACAAATGGGTTAGGACTTCCTGAAATAAACCGTAGCCCAAGGCACAGTATTATTCCGGACATTTCTCTGATGGAAACCAGAGATGAAAGGAATATTGACGATGAAGATATACCAGCCAGCAGGTAACTTATTCACACGTTAGATTGAAAACAAATTAAATTTACTTCTATGATAAAAATTATCAATTACCCAGAAGTTCCATTTTAAGCGTAATAGGGTGAACTGTCCTTCAGTCAACGAGTGTAGCAATAACGAAATACATAAATTTTTAATAAAGTAAAGTTATTTCCGTACTCGAATCAAGTAGCTATCCCAAAATCGGAAGTTATAATTAATTTCGTATTTATCTGATAACCGTTAGAGTAACCATGTATTGCAGGATCTAATTTACATTATATTACGAGAACTTCATTATCTGATACAAGCTGAGTTTCTCTTGATATTCAAAACCTGTGGTCTATGGGCTATATATATCTGATAGTCGCTTTAAATTAACTTTGTGTTTTGTTTGTACCTATACACATCATTTCACTCGGACTTTATCAAAATAGCTTAACAAACATATATACTTTGCATTCGTATTTATCGAACAGAATACAAAACTACCTTTATTAGTAAAACAAGCCAGCCGTAATTATTGTACTACGAACAAATTAATAGTAATATGTATTTTTAAATGAAATACACATGTTTCAATTTGCCTACGATAATGCCATTTACATTACATGTAATTTGCTTCTGAAACTTTATAGTGAAATTTTGATAAGGGACTTGAACGAGTGGCTATATTTCCGTCAAAATTGTTATCAAAGTTCAAAAAATAGTTCATTTTGAATCCAAATTTACGAAATATATTGGCAAAATAAACAAGATATATGAAATTTTTGGCATTTTGACGACATAAAAATAAGAATAATGTGCTGACGACAACACTTTATAGAGGGGTCAGGCAAAGATGCATATTATCGCCGTTATTATTTAATGCGTATTCTGAGCAAATTCTAATAGAAGCATTGGAAAATGAGACCGCTGGTATAAAAGTAAATGGAGTTCTAATTAACAACATCAGATATGCTGTGTCAGTAATAATAGCCGGCATGAGTTTGAAAGAATTAGAACGAGTCATGAACAAAACATTTAGGTGTAGTGCAAATTATGAACTCTCCTTCAATATCAAGAAGACAAATGGAATTTTAATGGTTGGAGGTCAACAGATTGAAAAAATGAAAAGATACACTTACTTAGGAACAATTATTACAGAAAACAATGATTATACCCCAGAAATAAAAACCAGAATTGAAAAAGCTCGTACCAACTTTATAAAAATGAAAAAAATCCTGTGTAGTCAAGAGCTGACGTTAAGGCTGAAACTAAGTTTGACAAAATGTTATGTCCACAGGGTGCTTTATTATGGGGTGGAAGCATGGACACTGAATGCAGATATAATAAAACTACTCAACTCTTTCGAGATGTGGACCTTTAGGAGAATTTTAAGAATTCCTTCGGCAGATCGAATCACAAATATTGAAATGCTGAGAAGAATTGGAAAAGAGAAAGCGGTTGAAACTACAATTAAAGAGAGAAAGTTGCAGTATCTGGGACACAAAATGCGGGGCCAGAAGTACAGTCGACTAATAATGCAGGGAAAAATAGATGGCAAAAAGAATCTGAGAGACTGGTTTGAATGTAGCTCAAGAGATCTTTTTAGAGCAACTGCCTCAAAAGTTAGGATTGTGATGATGATTGCCAACCTCCGTCGCGGAGATGGCACTTAGAGAAGAAGAACACTTTATATTGGATTAAAATCAAAATAATTTAATCAGTTGTCTTCTTTTCAAAATAAGGCACAACTTTTCTTTATATTTATAGAGGAAGTCATTTCTGGCGGCTGGAAATATTCAAAGGGCACGTTACGTCCATGAATTATTAGATTAGCTTTGTCGTACTCCGAAATCGTAGTTTACAACGTCTCTGACATTCGAGGCAGAATTTCAGGATGCTTTCAGAGCAAATAAGAAAAGCATTTTTCTAAGGGGACATTTTAACATGCAAGGCAATTCAATGTATGGACCTGGTCGAATGGAATTGGGATTTTTTTAAAAAGATTGCAAATTCGATTGTTTGTTCCAATAAATAGAAAATTTGTTATTTATTTTCCAACTGGTTATTATTTCAAGAAATTAAATAAAATACAACATGAGGAGATCTAAAGTAGTGGTAAACAGGTAATTGAAGCCCTATTAGTAAAAAAATTGTCAATCAATTACCTAAAGTCTCCAGGGAAAAACATAAACTTTTTGGTTTGGAATGGGCTTTGCATCATTCAATTGATTCCAGCATGAGATAGCGCTAGTAAGGGCAAAAAATCTATTGGATCTCCCATGTCTCTCACTCTAACCCTGAGTGAGATAGTGCTAGTAAGGGTAAGAAAATCTCACGGATCTCTCCTGTTTTCTCACGCTAATGTTGGCCGCAAATATATGTATTGAGTAGATAGGCAAAGGGCTATTCCAACCTTCTTACTACTTCATTGATCGTACCTCGCATGAATCGTTGACGGCTGTGTGCCAGACAGCGTGTAAAGATCAGGTTGTGAAACGTCTTTACGGATAGAGGAAAACGAATCCATTTTCTCTCTAGTCAAATATTTTAGTCAAAAAGTTCAACACTTACCGGAATACTTACTGTTATTTTTTTAGAAACATGATATGGTGAATAATTCTATGAAGTTGATTATCTTTCATATTGTCACAATCTTCGTGTGACGGGGGTGTAGGGTGGACGGATCGAGAGAAACATGTCCAGTTTATATAAAATTATTTATATTTGCTCTATGAAATCCTTACATGAATCCTCCAGGATGCATGCCTCTTGCTTGCGGAGTCGGATAGGGCCACAAGTCGGACATCGGATGCTACTTGGGAATATCGGTTTACTTACTTATGTTACGTTGATTTCTAATAGTTGTTTAACTGATCCTCATCTAGTATTGAAAATAATGATAAAATAGTAGTAAAATAGGTAAATACAGCAAGAATAAATTAAAATGCTCGTTATAATTGAGCAGGATGGTGCTTTTCTGGCAGTCGCAATAAACAGACAAAATTTTAAAAAAATGTAGGACAAATTGAATCAGATAAAAAATTTAAAAAATAAATCTCTAGATTTCCCCCAAATAGACATATTTTCCTTTTAAGTTAAGGTACCTACTATAGGTACTACAAGATTAAGCTGAGGATGAAATTAATTAAATCCCGGAATTGTTAAAGTTCTTGAGATGTTTTAATTAAAATATGTTTTAAATGAACTTTTAATCTATCCGGATTTCTATTTTAAAATTTTAGCCTTCCAGCGCTCTTCTTACTCGAGAAGATAATTGAAGGAGTCAAACAAAAAATGGCTTTTCGGACCTCTGCCTGCATTCAGTAAAGGTTGATAGGGATGGACACACAAATTTGGTTTGCACCAATTTTATTTAGAGCAAATGGACCAATAATCCCACACTAACAATTGATTCCGAAAACCAGAGCAGCAGTACCTATTTATTAGCCCAAAATTCTGAATTGACTCACCTCAGAAAAACGTGGGACCACCAATCACAAAATGGAGGCACACAATTAGATAAAAAAAATTAAAATATAATATCTATATTTCAGAGGTAGATAAGATAAGATTTATCAGATAAAAACTCAACAGTGATATGGTAGTATACACTGATGGTAATCGTTATTTATTATACAAGACGGTAAAAAGATGCTTTACCTGTGAGTGGAAAATGTTGATTCGAGCGACGAAGGAGCGAGTGGATTAATTTCACGAACAGGTAAAGCTTTTTTACCGTTGTGTGTAATATTCTATTTTATTCTTGAGCAACTTTTTATTTATCACAATTACTAAAATCATAGACTAAAAGGTGGTAAAATTTTACATAGATTATGACAAAGTGACAAGTAACAAACTGACACATTTCTGGTGTTGTCAATCATGCAACATAACCCTGATTTCTGTCAAAAACACTATAATTATGTGATAATTATTATAAAAGATTTGAATGAACAAGTAGGTAAAATTGATGTATGAGTGGGTAAAGTTGACGTATGAGTGGGTAAAATTGACAAATCAGTGGGTAAAAATTGTTCGATTTCACTACTTCAGATAAAGTGTTACTTTAACAACGAGTTTTGAGTCGATTAAATGATAATTTACCATTCGCGATAGAATAAAATAAATTGAAACATTATTAAGGGAAAATCTAGAAATCTGAAGGAGAAACAATAATCAAAATCGACTTGCCTGCTCAGCCACTGCCAGAGAAAAAGACCGTCTTAGAAGCAAAACCCTGCAGGAAAACGAGTTTCATGTTTTTTATACTTAACTGCGTATTAACCAGATCGACCAATCAGAAGACACACAAAAGATTGTGCTCACTTAATCAATGAAACACCACGTTGATTAAAAGGGAATAGATAAAAACCCACTAGAATTATTTCAATTGTCTACAAATTACAATAATTTTAATTAAGGTTATGTTGCAAACCTAAAACCACTAATTAATTAGGTCATTAAGTTAAAAACTATTATTTCAGAATCAGTTAGAGAAAGGCAGAAATATATCTATTTGCTAAAAGTGAGAAAGATATAATTTCTTTAAATGAAAATATGAATGACTGTCAATGAGAAATAATAAAAATCTATCGGGTACTAGATGGCGGTACCTTCTTTTATTAACAGATATTTGCATTTTCATGCTCATTATGGATAGATGGCAGAACTGATATTAAACTGCATTGATTAAATTTTGTAGATACTTTTAAATTACTTAAATTATGAATTATTATTTTGCTGATTCTGAATTGACAAAAATACTTTATAATGAAAATTAGAAGAAATGAAACGTGTTACGTAAATAGGTAGTTGACATATGCCCCCTCCATGAAGCATTGAACCCCAATGCTTGGAAGAGACATTCACGATAGACCGAAAAACAATAATATCCTAATCATAAAATCCCTTTTTTACAATTTTATAATCCAAATATGGAGATAGAGTGTCTAATATATATATGTCCTTTGGTCCGGTCCTGTATTCTGCCTTTTAGGTGGGTTGGTTCTGGCTCCAAGTACTTCCTGGTGGTTTGGTCTTTATTTGGTCAGCTGAATCATCAACTGTCGACAGACCGCTGTCCAATTCTCCCTTGAACATTTTTCCTTTGATACTCTGGGTTAAGTTTGGTCAACTGGATCATGTGGTATCGACGGTCCCATGCCTGGCGCCTCCACCAAAATGTCACAACGTTCTTGTGACGGAGGGTGTAGGGTGGATCGATGGAGAGAAACTTGCTGAATTTCGATAAAAATATGTATACAGTGCAACCTTGGTAATCCGAACACCTAATTTTCAGTCCTTTTTTGGATTATCGATCGTTCGGATTAACAAATATGAAATAATGTATAATGAAACATTTTTAGAACTTTACAGGGTGTCCCAATTTGGACAGCAATACTGTGAAACCTTCATGACTTTTTTTCTATGAAAATAATTTATTTTCGTAAAAACTTTCTATTTACAAGCACTTATTTGAGTACAATTCACTGAGGTTGCTAGTTTTTTCCTATTTGGCCCTGATTTCGAGATATGTATTGACCAAGGTCCGATTTATTTCAATAATAGGACACCCTATATATTAATAGCTCATTGGAAAGCTCTGCTTTTGCTGATTTCAATGATACAAATTTCGATAGGTTTACCTCTGACAGTTTTGGAGAAAAAAATTATTTCGTTTTTTTTTTTCTAAAAAATAATGCCTTAGAAAAGGACTTTATATCTGCAAGGTATGCGACCGCGGTAATGCGCCAGCGCTGCAAGTTTTTTCCTGTTAGCGTTCGGATTATCGAGGCACCGTTCGGACTATCTCGCATCACGATTGGTGTTTGGATTAGCATGGGTTCGGATTACCGAGGTTGCACTGTATTTGCTCCTCGAAATCCTTACATGAATCGTTCAGGATGCATGCCTTTTCCTTGCGGAGTCGGATAGGGCCATACGTCGGACGCCGGACGCTACTTAGGAATGTCGGTTTACTGATGTTACATTGATTTTTGATAGTTGTTTAGCTGATTATCATCTAGAAGGGCTTTCCCAGAGTGGTGGTTCGTCGCACTAGATGACGATGCAGTTAGCCCCCTTGGGTGGCGGTACTATCACTGTGGAGACTTGACTCCAGAGGGCCGTTCCCAGGGTGGCGGTACTAACACTGGTTCAAGTCTGTCTATTGCTCGTCTCGGCCCTCTACTTATGTGAATTTATTGCTGAATTGCAATGATATCCGACCGATTCGGTAATTAGAATGATAAGGTTGAATACCGGCCCCTCCTTTTCTGAGTAGCTAGTTGACAATATAGCTGCTTTCGGAAAGTGTGATCCGATTAATAGGTTCGATCGGATTAGTAATCTCATCGTTCATAAAATGACCCGAAGTCGAGTACTCGCGTTCGGTAAGTGATCTTGTTGATTCGGTTTTCTCATATGTTTTTGATCTCGTTAACCCTGCTCTTGACGTGGGTAGAAAATTAATCTATCAGCTGTTTGATGTTTTTGGTTATGTCATATGTTTGTTTTATATGTTTTGTTTCCTTTTGTGTTTAAATTCTTGTTATTTGTTGTGTTTGGGGTGGTTTGCGGTGCCTCTAAAAAGTCGAAGGTGAAGACCTAACCTCAGATCGTTGAAGAAAAACAGTTCATTGAGGAAAACAAACGCGGGTGACGGCGATCGTCGATCCCAATCGTTCGAAAACGTTGACTAATCTACACTTAAAACGAGCTAAACCGCGATCAGCTGATATTAAACTACTCGATCCAGGATTTACATTTCCGAAAGCAGCTCATAAAGAAAATGTCAGCTGCGATTTAAAGATCGCAGAGCCGTGACTCAAAATATTTAAGTAGGTACGTGAAAAACAACAGAGAACTTTCAAAATAAGAGAAAAAAATGGGTTGCGTTTGCTCACCTCTCTCTCGTGCCCAACATCACTTTACATCTAAACTGTATAACTAATCCTCTGTGATCACTTTTCGCGTTAAAACAAATAAATCCCAATTAAATTTTTCTTTTGAGAAAGCGGTTATGGTTCACGCGGCGAAAGCTTCTATTCAATTTTGTTACAGTAACACAAGCATACAAAATCTAGGCAATCGAGTCATAAAACTTCTTTTTCCTATAGAAGAAAACTTACCCTTTAAATAAATAGGTTTAAAAACACGATGTATAAAAATACAAGAAAACGTAAAAAAGATATTAATCGTTATCAAAAGGTCGCTCGTAATAAAGAGGTTATAAATTAGTTTTTTTATGCGAAACTGGAAAGCTAAAAACTGCTAAAACTTAAAGGAAAAAAAAACTACACGCGATAATAACCTGATAATTATTTTTTGTTTGCAGATCTCCACGTCATTCATTGATTCCTGACAGTGCTTTGAGTCCGCGCAATAGCCTAGTTCCTGATTCTACTAGATCACCAAGGCACAGCCTGGTACCAGGTGATCTAAGAAGTCCACGAAATAGTTTGGTTCCCGATTCGGCACTGTCGCCCAGAAATAGTTTGACTCCAGAACAGTACGGCAGAAGCCCAAGAAATAGTTTGGTGCCCGACTCAAATAGGTCACCACGTCACAGTTTGACTCCCGAATCGACAGGTTATGGGTCTAGGTTGAATATTTCTGAATACAATAGAAGCCCCAGAAATAGCTTATTGCCTGATGGAACAAGGTCAGCTAGGCAAGTTATTAGTCCATTGGAGCCTAAGCAGTGGAATACAGATGAGAGTAAGTACAGTCTGGCGTTTTTAATCTGATACTCTAAAGGAACGTGAGTTGGTGGATGATGATAGAACGCCAATGGTCACCTGACCTCACACCTGTTTTTGCCATGCGCTCCTCATACTGGAAGTGTCAGATTAAAAACGACGCACAATACCTCCTACGTTTTTGTTTATTTTATGCAATAAATAATAATTAACTTTAGTTCCAGTTAGTCGAAGTCCTAGACATAGTATATGTCCGGATATTAATCGAAGTCCAAGAGGCAGTATAGCACCAGAATCATTTTCATATCGTACCAGTCCTAGAGGCAGTATTGCAGGTATTTACAAGCTTAAATTATTTTTTAAATAGCTCAGTTACTTAGGGTGTGACGCAAAAATAAAAGTTTTAGTGCTAAAAAAATCTAAGAATAACTATCTTGCTAGGATGAACCGTTTTCGAGTTAGGGAGGTTTAAAGTGAAACGCCTACGCTGTGACTGCCGAAATATTGGAATGTGCTTCGAATCATTAAAAATAATACATTGACGTACCATTTTAACGTTCTCCACCACACTTTCCACAGTTTGAAATCCAAATATACTACTGATTAACACTAAAAATCACAAAATTAGCTCTATCACTTCACAGCAGCACTCCCAAATCCGTTATGGATGATATGAGTCACATAAGATCATCTGATTGACTGCTCGTAGATGCAACGTTGCCGATGAGCCACTTTTCGAGCAATATATTCCTATGTTGTTCTAGAATTTTCACCAATTTAAATTGAGAAAACACTAACTATCCTATTCAAAAAGGCATTTAAGTTATGTTTCAACAAAGCTTGATATAAAAAAGCATTTACATTATGTTAAAACATATTTTGAATTAATAATTATGCGTGAAGAGATTTAATATTGAAAATCACATCAGATTATTGGCAACCAGGCATTTCATGCAAAAATAGACCTTACTGATGTTGGATCGCAAATTATTTGTTTACTGTTGTATCTCTCTGTGGTCACACCCCCTTCAAAGGCTTGCCAAATATCTGGCTTTGTTTAGTTTACACCTCGGAATTGTGAATTGTTTTAGAGCACTTAATTGAAGCTCCATGATAAAGTTAAATGAAAATTACAAAATAATTATTTTTGTTACCCTTATAAATACACAAAAGGCAAATACTTATCAATAATATGAGTTTTCAAATCACTAATTTTAATTAAATGCGATTTAAATAATTTAATTCCATTTTGATTTTGCCAAAGCAGAACAAATTCAATAACAGTTGTTGTAGGAAATCTGATTAGCGAATTGGTAGTAATTGAATTAATGTCTCTTTAATCAAACAATTTTATTGAAAAATATTGAATTTAATTGGTTCGAACAGACTCAAAAATAAATTTATTTTTTATTTGAAAAATCTCTAATCCCTAAATCTAAATTCATGCTAAATATATTATATAGATAGATGTTTATTTTTAAATATTTTTTTTCCAGATCATTTACCTGAACAACGAACACCCAGAGGTAGCATAGGCCCCGAAAACGAATACGATCCTAATCGAAGTCCCAGAGGAAGCATTGCCAAAAATAATTTATCAGGAGACATGAGATGCTCCAGAGGGAGCTTGTCGCTTACATTTCAAGAACCACCGATTAGCGAGAGGAGATCGAGTGCTGACAACCCTAGTAAGTTTTAATAAAATTCACTTTCATAAATAAATTGATCAGATTTTATTTTATAAGATAGCGTTCTACGATTACCTTTACGTGAATAAGGATCTGAAACTTTCAAAAAATATGCTCATTCTAGTTCTGGAAATCGCAAGACGGAATGGAATGTTCAAAAACTTTACTAGTTTGTTAGGAATTTTCCCGCACGGTGCACAGCATTTTGTATTTTCGCGTCTTATTTTTTCAATAAATGACTATTTCTGTGTATATCCATCTTTATTCAAAGATACTTTCTCGTGGCAGCGATCCAATAGAATCATGCTTCTGTAATGAGTTTGAAAGTATGAATCCATAATACTACTTTTGGTACATTTTCTATATCATTGAGCGCCCTGTCACCCGCCTTCTCCAATATTTTGCATCCGAACTGACAAAGCCCATATAGACTATCTTTCCTAAGCAGATGGGAGAGTTGCATGAGCATGGATTTTTTATCCAGTTGCCATTAGTTGCATCCAAGACGGAAAATATTTGAATTTGAGGTTGATATAACAAGTCGTTTTCCATGGATGCACAGGGTCTTTTAGCATATTGTGGTTAATTTGGTGGAATCAGTACATAGTCAAGGTTTTTTATATATGCTGAACTACAACTAATGAACTTACAACAATGGTACCTATCCTCAATAACTGGCTCGGTGGGATTATGCCTTCAAGGCTAAGCCTAAAATTCGAAAAATCCACTCACATACAGGGGCCGATCAATAAGCACGAGATACTGATAAAAAGGCTATATCCGTTATTTTATTCCACCTAGGTATATGGATCTGCTCCATAATTTGTCATTCTGCATCCAACAGTAAACTTTTCACAAATTTTCAAATTTAATTCCACTTCTAAGCTGTTCGGAACTCCATTTTTGATCCGTTTCAAATCGAAGGCTTCTAATAGGAACAGGACCTCCTTCCTGCTGGTCTATTCTGAGGCGATGCTTGTGTTGATCTGAGCATGGTCGCCTGGATAAGGCATCAGTGTTATGCAATTTACCAGAACGGCCTTTGATTTGAAAATTATACTGCTGTATCTTTTGCAGCCATCTTGCTACCTTCCTTCTGGTTGTTTCATGTATGGTCTTTTTTAATGAGAACATATTGTCCCTACAGTTACTAGTAGAACTGGTCTACTGCTCTGGCTATTGCTAACAGTTCTTTTCTTGTAACGGAATAATTTCTCTCGGGCTTGGTAAGCACTCTACTGTAGTCTGTAGTACTCAATGACCCTTTATTCTCCATCCTGTATTTGCGACAAAACAGCTCCAATACCTGTGTTACTCGCGTCTGTGTACAAAATAGATTTTCTATGACCCGTGTATAGTCTAAAGGTACATTTTGCTTGGAGCGACTATTGCGATGATTGCAGAACGATAATCGCGGGGCGATAATTGCTTGCGTTAATCGCTAGCTGGAGCGTTTTGCTTGACGGCGACTATATTCACTATTCTGCCAGCATTCTCTTAAAAAATATTCTTTGGCTAAAATTTCTGTTAGTAGGCTCTCAACTCTTCTTGTAGATATATTGAGTGTCGCAACGAATGTAACAAAAAGGATTAGTAGATACATCAAATTTGAAATTTCAGGGGAAACAACTTCAGTAAATTATCGGTATCGAGTTACAGACTGGGACGCATATAAAGCTGACCTGGAGTACTGTCTGCCGAACATCAGGAAGACAATAAGAGACACTGGAGACTTGAAGATAGTTGTGGATCAAGTCAATGATGCAATCATCTCAGCCTTCAAGCCTTCAATGAAAAGCCAGGAAAGTGCCCTGGGTCCTTATTTTCTTGAAACAGGGGAGCAGCGTTCCCAGGAAAACGAGTGTTTTGTCTTTGTTCCTTATATTGTCATTTGCATATCATTAAGAAAGACGGAACACTACTCCCTTGTTTCAAGAATAGGGGCCCTGGTAGATTGAGAGCCTTGCAAAGTTAGGAAAAAAAACTAGAACAGAATTCAGTAAAGCCGTGAGAACCGGGCAGTGGGAGACATACAGAACCACGTTGAAAAAGTTCAAGAAAGAGCCAAGGGGATCCCTGAGGAGGAAATACTGGGAGGATATAGAAAGTATTCAAGATTGTGCTAAACTACAAAGAACTCTGTCAAGGGGCCCAAAGACAACGATCAAATCACTCAAAAACAACCTTGGTGAATATACAAAGACGGGGGAAGAGACGGCTAGGGAACGCCTAAGAATCCACTTTCCCGGCTCAAAGATAGTTGATCAGACTCAGTGGACATGGAATGAGCCTAGACTTTGAAAAGCATCCAGGAATGACTGGCTGACCTGGAAGAAAGTAGTCAACTATGAAAAAGTCAAATGGGCTATAAATACCTTTGATCCATATAAGTCAACAGGGATAGATGAGATCTATTCCATAATGTTACAGAACGGAACTGAACTTGCAAACAAGATACTATGTTAAATTCTAAGAAGTAACCTAGCCTTTTGCTATGTGCAAACGGCCTGGAGGCGCATTAGGGTATCGTTCATACCAAAACCTGGAAAAATAGGCAGGACACGGCGAAGTCCCTAAGACCCATTAGTCTTACATCATTTGAGCTTAAGACACTAGAAAAACTTGTGGATAGGTACATTAGGAACGGTGTTTTGACAAACAGACCGCTACACCCACACCAATATGCGTGCGCAATGGTTGTAACAAAAAGGATTAGTAAGAAAAGTGAAACACTGTCATTAAAACATCTTTTTCTTGAAGAAATTGATGATAAAGACATGCTAGAAATGTTGAGTTTACCAAGACTTCATCAACATCCCATCTTCAAAAGAAGGATGGATGAAGGATACCTTAAAGTTTTGTCCACAAATCACTTGTGTGGTGACGACAAAAAACACGAAAACACATCTACACCTATTAATAATCGTTCGCGATTGGAGATTATACCTACACTAGGACTAGACGCGCGCGATTGACGCTAGCGACTCTAGCGACTCTAGCGATCGTTGCTCCAAGGAAAACGTAACAATTTATGAAGCATGCGATTATCGCTCTGCGATTATCGCAATAGTCGCTTCAAGCAAAACGTACATAGGACTGGAAGATGGAACTGCCTTTAAGGTACGGTTTGTTAGGATAGTACGCGACGCACAACTGACAACGTTAACGTCGTCATTGGTTCAGGTATGACGTAAACCCGTTTTCTGACGCTGACGGTGACGTCAGGGAACGGCTGTACGTCATATCTGAACCAATGACGCGCCAAAATTTAAAGAGATCCAAGTACAGAAGCGCCCTCTTCAAGTCAACTGTCAATATTACATGCCATTGCTTGGATTTTTCCCTTGTCAGTATGAATTTTTTCGGGTGGAACGTGGCCAAGAAAATCAACGCGCTGTTGGAAGAGAGAAAATTTATTGTCATTTAATCGGAGGTTTGCCGTACGTGTAAATACTTCTTGTAAGTTTCGTAGGTGTTCATCGAAAGTTTTTCCCATCACTAACATATCATCCAAGTAGACAAAGCATACTCTCCACGTAAGTCTTCGATGTGATCAACCCAGTAGCGTAACTTGATATCAGGGGGCCTTGGTGTAAGATTAGATCAGCCCGCTTGCCATTGACCCCGCCAGAGTTTATTTTGGGTGCCACGCCCAAAACCGGTAATTTTAAGCCTTCAAAAATAGTATATTGTATATTTAGGTGGAAAGTGACACGTTCTCGGCCGACGGTATAAGTTGCAAACACCGAAGGCCGAAAATGTGCTTTTCCTCTGAAATACACATATGTACCTGCTATCACTCAGTAATAGAAAAAATAAGGAATGCTTCTGTGTTGTTCCTAAAAATCAGTACACTTTCCCGGCATAGGCCGGAAAAGTGATTCCCCCACTGTTATCCATTGATTCCTTTGCAATCACTTTCCCGGCCTAGGCCGGGAAAGTGATTCCCCTACTAGGTCCTTATTCTTGAAACAGGGGAGCAGCGTTCCCGGGTGAACGAGTGCCCGGTCTTTCTCAATGATATGCAAATGATAATATGAGTAACAAAGACGGAATACTCATTCTCCTGGGAACGCTGCTCCCCTGTTTCAAGAATAAGGACCCTGTTATCCATCGATTCGTTAGCAACCATTGAAAATACCAGAGCATTGAGTTTTGCGACCTGTCAACCGGTGAAAAATGATGACATTTCTTGTCAATCGCAGATTTTTTTTTTTTTTTTTTTTTCAAATTACATATTACGAATTTAATAAAATAGGTAGGTACTTATGACAAATTAGGGGCCCCTGCAGGGCCCCTCAAGTCTCGGGGGCCTCGGTGATTTGCACCGAACTGCACTATGATAGTTACGCCAGTGGATCAACCTCTCAAAAGTAGCGGGGGCCTTACAGAGTCCAAAATACATTACCTATCTTGAATTAGTAAAGAGAACGCTGTCTTCTCTTTGTCTTTTTCGTCAATGCCTACTTGTCAGTATCCGATTTTTAAATCGGAACTAGAAAACCAATGACGTCAATTCTGGGTAATGGGTAACTGTCTTTCTTATTGACATCGTTTAGTTTTATGTGATCGACGCTAAATCTGGTAGATCCACCTTTCTTTGTTACTAGTACAATTGATAATGACTTAAAGACTTTTCAACAACTCTCTTTACGAGCATAATGTTCACTAATGACCCTAGGTCTTGTTGTTTGGTCATGGGAAGCCTTGTAGGTGGTTGACGGATTGAATGAGCTCTGCCGGTATTGATTTCATGCCTTATGATGTTCGTTTCACCAGTTTGGCCACTTTCACTTTCAAAGATAGCCCTCGCTCTCACAAAGGACTTGTTGCGCCTTTAGTTCTGTAGAGGAAAGATATTGCCAAGATGTTTCGACTTGCCTTAGAAGGTCGCTGGATGATTTATTTCCTTTCTTTATTTGAGCTTCACACTTTGAAATCCCTTTGAAAGGCTCATAGGTGGCTATGACATCGCCCTTGCTGACTTTAATATTGTTGTG